AGCCAAAGATGAACTCATATCTGACATGTTGGTATGTCTCGATGGCGAAATTTGATGATGATTCTCCCGACTCAGAAGGCAGGGCAGAACTGGCAGAATGTGGCAGCATTAGGATGAACACAGGCTCCCCACATCGTCCAAGTCTGGAGCCCGTCTTCTCGATTTCCTCGTCGAAAGTAGGTTCGTGAAGATATTAATGCCGAGGTTGTCAAGCAATGCGTACCACTTGCAAGTCGCAATAGTCTTTAACGACGTCAGCTACAATCTTGAAGGTCCAGGATTTGTCCAGGATCTATCTTACTTGATAAACAGTTTGTATGGTGGTAGATCTGATATATGTTGAGTGGGTAAACGTCGTACTCCGCATGCTGTCGGGCAAAGCCGATATTGATTTCGTACAGGGTGGAATGGATATTACAGATCCGAAACTCGCACATCCATCGCACGTTGCTCTTGTTGGTGGCACGTTTGTGCACAGGTTGGCTCTTTAAGTTCTGGGTTACGGCGTCTTGTCGAGAGCGGGGAACAAAGGACGACGACTATCATTCACGCGCAATAGGACTCAGGAGCAACTCCATATCATATTCGGTTCTTTCCGCAGTGCATACTCTTCGATGCACGGATCATGTCATGTGTAGTCATACCTGCTATAACAACACAGTGCGCATCCATTCCTTCGCCTCTCCGAGTCATTCATACTAGTACACCAACTATGCGGCCTGTGATAGTCTTTTCCCTCCGGTCTTGGGGTGTTGTGTGTTCAACGGTGGTACAGGTATGTGCATGTGACTTTTTTTTTTAAAAAAAATCTCATCGGAGTCAGGCTGTATAATTATGTGCGTGGGTGCTTTTTGTCACTGGCAGAGCATGGTTCAGAGTTCTGCCAATGGCAGAACTGCTTCAATTAGTTCTACCCATAATACTAGTACTAAGTACATTCTTCCTTCAGACCGGTAGAACTAGTCTTCCTAAAAATTCATCTGTTTACATACAGTCCAAGAAATGAAACAGCGTAAGAAAGATTCATGCGGGATGATATTTTGAAACACGAGCGCGTGAACCGCTACACTGAAAGAAAGAGATGTCCGAATTCAAGGAACCTGAATGGGACATACTGATCTAGTTGCATGTTTGAAAATGGATTGCATATGGACGAGTTCTTCCTGCCGCGTCACCCGGTCCACGAAAAATAATATCCAGCACAAAGTATGAAAAGCCGTCTTTCTTTCGACTGTCTCATTCAGATCGTTCTGAACCCATATCACATCTCCAGTCTCACAAACAATGCGTATCTTCTCTGTCCTCGCAGTTGCTGCCGCTTTGATGGCATCAGGAGTATCCGCCTCCCCCACATTCAAGTTCATGACCCGTGATGAGTCTCCTACCGGAAAGCATTGCCCTGGAAGTTGCAGCAACCCCTTCCAAAACTGCTGCCCAAACCAGGGTTGCAAGAGATATGGCGGCTTCGTTCTGTGTGTGCCAAATGTCGAACTTGAATAAGTGTCATGTCGCGACAGTGAACTATGGTGAGTTGTGTTTCTACTTCAATGAACATCGGTGCCGATGATGGCTTATGGCACGATATCAGGGTTACTACTAGCTTGATGAACGTTTTGCTTCTCACTGCCGCTCGAGCAATCATTGGAGTCTTGGAATAGGAGGAAATCTCAGATACTCGAATCCATAGAATGTGACTAAAGAGTTTTGCAGTCGGTGTATATCGAAAGTTGTGATTGTTAAACTGCGAAAGTTCAAGCTCAAGGTCCAGAAATTTGAAATGGCAAATATTTGGTCGCTGTGAGCTTTGATCCAACCAATTTTGAACCAATTCCGGAAATTTCTAGGTATTATTTTTAAAAGGCCTGGCCAATTCTAAAATATCAACTTGACTTTACACGGCATTTGTCATACCGGGTTAACTGGTTTTCGGTGATGAGTTCTTCACTCTCAGCAGGAGTCGGAAGATAATATTACAAAAGTCAGCCACCAGCGGACTCTAACTGGCCCCTTGGTCATCTCAGTCCTGCTGGCCCGTCAAAACCAAAGACATGGTTGTGAATCAGCGGACAAACTTTCAATAGGTCGTCGCCTTGGCAATCATCTCTCTTGTGCTAAGCAGTCTGCACAGGGAGACTTCCTGCGCAATATGACTGATACGTTTTTGGGAGATAAAGCCCTTGCAACGATCAACAGTCTCCCCTACTATGCGATGCTCATGTGGTGGTGGGTGAGATGGATACTTTCCGACTAGGGCTAATGACGATTACCGTTCCTCTTACTAGGACAACTTACTTCTCAATCCGAGTCGCACCGCTGTACAACGTGTTCAAGTCTACAACAATGACCATGCTGGCATTGATTGTCAGTGAATGCGTGGCTGTTGCTATTTTTATATCGTGGCTCATCTGGGCAGCAAGAGAGCTAGATATCTTCAAGCGACTGGTTAAGCTCATATTATCCGCCAGGGCACAGGAGGCACATCTTAGCACACTTTGGGGTCCACTAAACTTCATATGAAACGACTTTTTCGTACATAACAATTTGACCCAGATCTGACACCATCTCCTATATTTCCCGGAAATCTCGCGCCATTTCCGATACGCAAAGAACTGTAAGCATGGACCGATTTTTTTCCCTTATGTGCGTCGATCATGACTAAAAAATCACCAGTAACTCGCGCGTCAGTGTCAACGGCCATAATGACATCGTGAAGGCAATAATACGACTCACATGGATGCAGTACCAGAAACCGCCCTGCCATGCAGGTGAGTCATGTTATCAGGTCCAGAAAAATGCTGATACTCACGCATCTCAACCATGGGCAGTCTTCAGTCGCGTAGTCAACACAATCATCGTAAGACCAGCAAGCTCTGTAACATTGAGGGTTGAAAGCGCTATCTGCAACACTAGTAGCTGGCATGGCAGAGATTGATGGTACTAAAACAGCAATGATTGCGAGGACCGTTGCAGAGGAGAAACGCATTGTTTGCGACTCGTGTGTGTGGAATCAGGTAATTTTGAAGGGATAGTAGGAAGACAGCTTGCTTTATATTGTTTTCTGGACTTATTGTTGCACAGATGTGCCTCCGAATGTATACGTTTTGCCATTCGTTGTTGCTGTTGACATTTGTGGGGCAGAACTGACATTGCCAATCAGACGGCAGAATGCGACGGAACTTCCGCACATGTCAGGTTCAGACTGAGACCTGAAGTTCTGCCGGAACTACCTTGGAATAGTTCTGCCGCTAGTACATGTTGCCAGTGTATGGCCAGCTTCCTCTCGACTTTTATCAGCCCTCCAACATCATCACTGACAGTATGTCTACGCAGATCAGGTCTTGCGTTAATGCCTACGAACGAGTGCCGCCCGGAGTTGTCCTCTTGCTGTGGTTATGCAGAAAGATCATGCTTCTCGCATGTATTCAATATTTAATGATGTCATTCTCTTCAGATGATATGACAAGACAACGCTTCTAAGATCAAGCATTTCCGTACTAGTATAAGACAAACGTGCTTAGCCATACGGAAATTCTCGTCGTCCGGACAATCTGCAGTATGCGTATAACTGTGCACCGATGCATAGTGTCCCACACTTCCTCTTACTACACCTGAGACATAGTCAAATAAGATTCGGTGACAGATCCCATTCAAATTCAGGGACAAATTGTTAATATTTAAAATGTTTGGGTATGCCTTGAGATGCATGATCAAAGCCAGAAAATGTCGACAATCAACTATGACTCCAGATTCATCCTTAAATGAGGAATTTGTTGGCATGAGTCTGCCTTATTGTTAAATTAATAATCAGATAACGAAAATAATCAGTATATGGTTGACAACGAGATTCATAAATAAATAGTAGATACACCACATGATCAAATGTGTGATAAATTTAACCTCTGATTCAAATCGAGTGGGAGGACAGAGATTGGCAAGATTCAGTGAGCACAGGGTGGAAAAATTGAGAATATGTACACTAATATTTCTGATGTTACATTGTGACAATGATCTTGAAAATGTGCGTAGGGCATACAAGTACCCTGTTGAGTGCCTCATTGAGTGTACCACTTAGTGGGGTACAGGTATGGAGCACCCACCACTCTCTTTTGCGGTGCCTCACATTATGCCAAAAAATGCTCCCATGGACTCTCAATCAACATAACCACCCAGTTGGAGCCACACAAGGCTGGCTGCCCACCCCCGCAGCTCACCTCCTACCCTGGACAGACATCCAATTGGGGCCGGTTAGTGCTACGTGCTCTGCAAAAGCCTAATGTATAGGGATTTGACTGCTGGAGACACCTGCGACCAAAGTGGCCAAGCGGCTAGGTGCCATATTTCATCAGAGTTTCGACTGAGTCTGATTCACTACTTAAGCAGGGAAACCTTATTCATTAATTCCTCTTCTCAGATGACATCATTAGATTCAACAATAACATAGATTCTATTAATTTGACTCATTGCATAGACTTCATTGGGTTTATTGTATGGATGCTAGTTGTAGTCTTGCAAAATAGTTACATAAAGACAACTGAAATATTGTCACGATCATGTATCACTCCACAAATCAACAATTAGAACTTGACAAGTTTCCAATGATCTATTTTTCTTGTTCATATGTTGTGTCTTATTGTTAATGGCTTCATCTAAGTTATCAGGCAGACAAAGCATGGCAAGTGCACACAATCAAATGAACAATTAGAACTTGACAAGTTTTCAATGGTATATTTTCCTTGTTTGTACATTGCATCTTATTGTTGATGGCTTCATCTAAGTTATCAGGCAGATGAAGCACTGTAAGTGCACAACCATTGAGTCTTTGGTTGCCGATTGCCAGCGAGTATATTTACTCCATATCATATACTTGTAGCTTATACTCACCTACAGATAGATCCATTTGAGGTCATCTACCTGTGATCATGTCTCAATGTCGAGACAATTTTATGCTGCCTGATGACCCAGAAATTAACCCCAACCCCTAAAATCTTGCGACAGCGCTCATGGTAATTAGACAGACCGCCCACAGGTATGTCCCTGAGCCAGAAGCATTCTCTAATACTGACTTGGGTCACAACTCTTTATAGTTTTATCACTCATGAGGGCCCTGTTTCACAAGGCCCAACTATGCCAGAATATCACACTAATCTGGAGCACAGGTTATCTAACAGTACTTCATTGACCTATATGCCATACAGGCCATATGTCCCCTTCACTACCAGCACTTCACATGAGGGGCGACATTCTGGCCACACCCCGTGCCATGTACTCCAATCAAACAAATCCCCTTCTGATTTGACATTTGCCAGCTCTCCCTATCGCTCCACCAGATCACTCTCACATGATGCCACTCCATTTGAACATCCATTGAGTCCAATACCCATGTCTCCAGTCACCGCTACACATCTTGATGCACCAGCTGCAATTACCGTTCCTGAAGAGTCCATGGACAATGAATCTCTGATCACAGCCAATGATGACATTGCAATGGATCAAGACATGTCAAGTGCTGCTCCTCCGTTTTCTCTAAACCGTTCACCACCAGCTCACCATCCACCTACAATAACTCCCCCACAACAGAGACATCTGCCATTGCTGCCTGCCTTGGGACATTATCTAGGTCAGCTATTACATGACCAGTTTGCTGAACTGTCTGACAAGGTAGTGGCACCAGCTCTCAGGAATGCAGTCAACACCATGATGCCAGCTATGATTGAACAGATAGCAGGCAAAATTAGGGGTATCACTTCCACTTGCTCTCACAAAATTTGCAGCCAGAAACACTCTGGAGCAGTGGTGGAAGATACCAAGCCTGAATGTGAGGACAATCTAATGCCGTCCTCATGCAGGAAGCACCCTGGAAAGCAGGGTACCATGAATCATCTACATGCATGTCCAGTGAATTTCGTGTGATTAATGTCTGATTAACATTCATTTTAGAATACCTTTCACAAATATCTATGGGACAAGTGTCTGCTGAATTCCAAGAATGGTCTGCTGCCTCAATCCCCCCATCACACATGATTCAAGCTTTTAATTGTGACAATGAAAGTCTGCCATTTTTGGACAACATCACCATTGACTGGAACAACTCTTTGAGGAAGTCTCTTGGAATACAGAAGCAATCAACTTGTTGGTAGTTGACTTTCAGGCAAAAATAAAGACAGGTAGTTATGCATCAATAATCTTTGATGAAGATATGATGAACCTTGATGACTTGTGTGCACTCTGCATTGATAAGCTTTGTCAAACTCACCAAGCCCATCACGACCATAATAAGATTGAAGGATTCACAAATTCTCAAGAGAGAGAAACTGCTACTTGCGAATTAGCTTTTTGTAGCAGTTGAAGGCAATGTCTGGATAGGCTTAACACTCGCAAGCAGGGGGTAAGTGGGTAATGCATTTGCCATCTTGTTATTCATGTCTTTTTTCAGACCCTCGAAAGGCATTGGAAAATTGCTCAGCAAAATAACCATTGTAATCCTTAAACCTGGGATATGATCAGACTCATTATTGATTGGCTAGACGTGGATGGCATGAGTGGGGATGAAACAGATACCCCTCTGGGTGCGAATCCAAAGATAGTGAGGCAAGTAGCTCTACCATGGATAAGCCCAGCAATCACTTGCCTTCTTCACATTGTTGAATCCTATGCTCCAGCCACATACAAGGAAAATATGTCAATTCCAGTTGATAATGCATCACTTCCCCACCTCGTGGAGACTAAATGCACCTCATGAAACTCTGTTGCAATTGCGTGGCTGGTACAAAATTAATTCAAGCAGTGCTAGGGCATTTCTGGGCGTTTGCAAGGACTTTAAAGTTCCATCCTTGGTTCATAGTTGCATTTTTACACTACAAGTAATTACTCATTATGTGATAGGATGTTTATCCCTCTGCAAACGACATCCATCAATGAAAACCATGCATTACACCATAGGGTTATCTGCTCACAAATGTGCATTGCTGCAAACTCCACTCTACTTTCCCACATATTACAATGACATATTTCCATATTATATGGGTCACCCGACCTACATAATATCCCGTATAAGATGGGCCAGCGGATGATGGGCTGATGTGATGTATATCCTCGATGTTGACGGATGGGCCAGGAGGGATATTATTTCCGATGGAGGCGGGTGGGCCCATGTGTGGAATATGTAGAGTAGATGAGTGGGCTGATGGACATGAATATTTTATAGACGGATGGGCCAAGGTAGTTGGATATTATGTAGATGGGTGTACCAAGGTAGGTGGGTATCAGATAGACGGATATGCCGAGGGTACTTGTCATCACATACACGAGTGGGCCCAGATATATACTATATTAGATGGGTGGGCCGGCCGAGGGTACATTGTGTCACATACACGGGTGGGCCCAGATATATATTATCTTAGATGGGTGGGCCGAGTGTCAAGGAAGGTGGGTATCAGATAGACAGGTGGGCCGGCCGAGGGTACTTGTTATCACATACACGGGTGGGCCCAGATATATATTATCTTAGACGGGTGGGCCAGCTGAGGGTATGTGTTATCACATACACGGGTGGGCCCAGATATATATTATCTTAGACGGGTGGGCCGAGTGTCAAGGTAGGTGGGTATCAGATAGACAGGTGGGCCGGCCAAGGGTACTTGTTATCACATACATGGGTGGGCCCAGGGATATATTATATTAGATGGGTGGGCTGAGGGCGGTATATAATATAGACAGGTGGGCACAGGTGAATGATAATTGTAAAACAATGCAGTACTGATTGCTGAGTAGCTAATTTGGGTGAAGTGTAATGAGTTCCTGCAGCTGCAGGTTCATTACTGTTGCATTGCTGTACGAGAAGCAAGGTTCCAACTACCAAAATTCGAGTGAAGTGTACCGAGTTCCAAGACCCGGGTGTCAATAAACGAATATCTGATATCCAGCACACTTCCAATGATTGGGTATTTCATTGAGCAATGGGTGGTAATATATCTTCGACAGCCAACATCATGGAAGGTTCTCTTATCAGAACCTCATGTTCACCACCTACCAAACACCAAATGCTAAGTTCCGACTACCGAAATTTGAGTGAAATGTGCCGAGATCCGAGCCCTGGGAGTCAACAAACAAATATCTGATATCCAGCACACTTCCAATGATCTGGTATTTTGGCTCCCTTATCTGATCCTGACTATCTCCACCCCCTTTAACACCAACCTCTGGGCGTCCAGCATTCAGCTTCTGATTTCCCAAGATTGACTTCATCATGAATGGTTCTTCCACTTCTGCAATTCAAATAAGCCTCTGGCACACTTGGGCCCTGACAGTCACTCACGAGGCATCTGAATATACTGCACAGAAATTCAATGCAGAGAAGATAGGAGGAGACCCAGTGATACCTTCTCCTAACCTAGACACTGATATAGTGATGGCCTGCGATTGATTGGTAGATTGCCTCATAAAGGCATATAAAAATCTGAGTGGGTCTTCCTGCAGATTCAGAAAATTTATTTGATCATTCAAATTCCTTCATTACAGTTCAGATGAACATCAACATTGCAAGATATAGCAAATTGATCTCCCCGAAGAACACTGGGCACAATGAGGAGAAAGAGGAGAAGTTGCTTAAGAGATGTCCTCCCGGCCATGAGGGGACAATGTTTGTGGACATACCCACCACCATTCTAGATGTGTCCGGCACCATCATCACATGGTACCTCCCAGACGCCCTGACAGCTGAAACACAGGTGTGTGATATACATTGTTACTCAATATATATTAAATACCAAATGGTAACCACAGAAGGAAATGTGGGCAGCCACCGACTTGCTGTCTCTGAGTCTGGAAAGAAGTGTGAAGGTCGATGGGAATTGGTAAACCAATCTGGAGTGGTTCAAATGCTGCTCGGAAGATATTGGCTTACCTGCTGGATGCATCAATTTATCTGCGGCATGGTTTCAACAGGGGCACAAGGTAGGATTTGATAGGATGATGATTTCGGTAGTTGAGCTCACCAATCCCATAGAATATAGCGAACCCGGAGGTATCTGCATCATTAAAGGGACCATTGTCCGAGGGAATCCTAAACGCCATTGCGAGGCCAGCAGCCATTGCATCAGCGGCACTCAGGATCATGCATCCAGAGCAGTACTGGGCAGGGTTACAAACATTTTCAAGCCTCGGAGAAACGGCAGGAAGCAAGGAACTGCCAAGAATGTCTGAGATCCTGGAGTACTGGGCATCCGTGTTTAACACACTATCCGTCATTTCCAATCATCAAACCCTGCATCATCGAGACCATTTATCAATTCCTGAATGCTTCGATATTCTCACCACTGTGGGGAATTATTCTAATGCTCGGATGAGCATGCCAAGCCTTCAGCTGGAGTTCGGGTACAATCCTGGGTGTATGATTGGATTCCCTGGAAGGATTGTCAGACATGGGGTTCATGAGGTGGAGGGGGATAGGGTTGGGTGGGCATGGTATATGAGGGACTCTGTTCATATTTATGCCGGGGTTCCCTCATGTGGATGGGCTAGGGTGGATTGACGAACCCTACCACCATGTGCAAGATGAAACAAGTAGAAAGTGTAATTACCTGCGTCAGTACCTGCTTTCGACTACCAAGTACGAACCATCTCTCTTGACAACACTGGAGGTCTGAAATCTATAGCGGATGCATACAATAACTGTCCAGAGCCTTCCATGTCTCTTGATGACACTCGAGCACCAATGCATTCAGCGCGAGGGAGTGGGGTTTCAGTTGTGGTGCGCAGTTACAAAAGGCCAGCCCTGGGTTGGAGTAGTGCAGATGATATCATCAACCTTACACTAGGCAATGCTAAGAAGAACGATCTGTTGCAAAAGGAACCTACAAGTCAAAAGGGCACAGAGAAGCAAAGAAATGTAAGTATGAATGCTGCTGTACAAATTTGAAAATGGTACTGGGGCGATGGCTATCATTGTATTTAGACTCAGATCCTATCGACAGTCATCAAGGCCAGGAGCTCGGTAACCAGGTCTCGGCACTCGGGTCTTGATATTTGGACCTCGGTGTTACAACTTGGATGGTATCTGTTGGCGACGCTCAAACAGAGCTTGTGTCGTCAACGGTCTGTGGACGTCCTTGGGCTAGCCCAAGGTTAGGGGTCGTACTTGGCGTGTCTTCGGCAAGTACGATTTAACGCCTATGTCCAAATCGGGTAGCTTATGTCACGCGGGTGCGAGACAATAAGCTATATCGGCCTAGGCTTACGACACCCGAAGGTTAATCATAAGGATCGTCGTTAATTAGAAGGACAGAAGTCCAACTAGTTAACAGGGGCTTTGCTCGTTGACGAAGTCGATGAGTAAAGGTCGAGACTATAGGCTTATCCGCGATGAGCAGATAAGAAGATAGAATATAGACTGCTGGCGAGGCAGAAGGATCACTCTGGTGAGAGTAGGAGGTCAAGAACCAAGTAGATTCAAGTTTAGGGAATATAGTACATGGTAGCGAGTTTATATAGAGGACAGGAGGCGTATTAGTGGGTGATAACTCATACTACCGGGAGAGGCAATAGGTAAAGGGTAAAACCATAACAGGAAGGCACGTTCGGTCGAGGTAGAACGTGCTAGATAAGAAAGTGAGTCAAAGATCGAAATAAGAAGTGAAACGCGCAGGGGCACGATCGTGCAGCTGCGGATCTAAGTATAAGTCGCATGTGCGACTGCGCACCGAGTCAGAGATCAAGAAAGGAAACAGGGCAAAGGGGATGCGTCGTGCATCATATCATAGGTTACCGTCCAGACGGTAAGGGCGAGGGGACTGTCCACAGGATCAGTCAGGTGGTGAAACGGAGCATGGGTATGCTTCGTCAGCGAAAGGATCCGGCCAAATGTACTGGCTTTGCTGAAGCGACAGGTAGAGGGCGAAAGGGAATGCGAGGATGACGAGGATGACAAGGGTAAGGTCGGGGTAAGGGTATGACGCGAGGGCCGATACTAGGAGGATTAGGAGAAAAATAGTAGGGGCCCAAGCGTCTAGATGTTCTTGTAACACTTGGTAGTTAAATGCCAGGAGTTGGGAATCAGTAATGGAGATCCGGAACTTGGAGTTCAATATTCAGCAGTCAACATTCGATACTCGACACTCGGACCTCAGAACTCGATATTCAGAGCTTGGTAATCGGGTCTCGGCACTCGGGTGTCGATACTTGGACCTCAGTAGTTATGTTCCAGGAGTCGGGAATCAGTAATGGAGAATTCGTAACTTGGAGTTTGATATTCAGCAGTAAACATTCAGTACTCAACACTCGGTACCCAACATTTCGGAACTCAGTAATTGGGACTCGATATCCGGAACTCGGAGTTCAATATTCGGAACTCGACACTCAATATTCGTAGTTCAGTAATCGGGTCTCAGAACTTGGGTCTCGATATTCGGACCTCGGTAGTTAAATTCTGGGAGTCGGGAATTGGTAATGGAGATCCGGAACTTGGAGTTCGATATTCGGCAGTCAGCATTCGGTACTTGACACTTGGTACTCAAGGTTCAGAACTCAAAACTCGATATTCAGAGTTCGGTAATGGGGTCTCAGTAATTGGGACTCGATATCCGGACCTCGGTGGTCAGGACATGGTGATGAACATCTGCACCGTTTATTTTGGGACTCGCCATATAACATCATGTTATATATTGCAATGTTTACATGTGATTTTCAGTACTTATAAAACACATATGCAACTTGCACTTCAACATTTCCAACTGAGTGACTAGAGCTACTCTCCTCTGCCTCTCTTCAATCTGTCCAGAATGGCAGTGTAGATTTGTATCTCTGCCATCTTGTCATGGATGCCTCATGTTGCTCCTCAAGTAATGTCAGGAGGTGTTCTCTAATCCACCTCAGTCCCATCAGTGATGGAACTGAGGTATGATCCACCTGCTCCGGAATTGTCAGACCATCATTCTCAATGCCATCCTAGAGCAGATCAGTCATGAATCAAGGAAATGGAATAAGAATCTTACTAGCCAATGCTGGTAGTGAAAGATACAGCAAGTCATCACCCGATCCCATTGCCATGGTTTGTTCGGGATTGCAGTTTCTCCCATCCACCATGGGGTATCATGGCTGGATACGATCAGGGATGGATCTCCGGGATCTGCGATGTCATGAAACACACAGATGTGATATGAAAAGATGTGATCCGGAACCATGTTCCAGGTGTGACCGGGAATCAAATGAAGAATATGAGCAATAGGGCTGGGAATGACTGAAATGATGTTCCTGGCAGCTGAGTACTGGAGGATGGGCATGACAAAAGTCTGTGGAAGATGTCAGCATTAACTGCCAGTGTTGTCAGGGTCTTACAGTGATCTTCCATTGCAGCCCAGCTTTGAAGTGCCTGATCCAAGCCAAAAGGGGAAGATTGTTGTTTGCAGCCTCCACCTGATATTGGGAGATGGATGCGCGGATGTGTGATGCAGACATCGACATAGTAGTTGAAATGTTTGCAGGAGTGAGAGTGAGGGGCCGGTACTCATTGAGGGAATTCTGATTGTCAGAAGTGGATGCAGGAGAAGGATATAATTCAGGCATGGCTGATGCAGGAGTATCACACTGGCAATGACAATGACAGTTGGTTCAGATGTGAAGATATCATCCACTGATGGATGGATAAATTTTTCAAACTCCGACATGGGCTGACCCGGCCAATTCCCGGGACTAAATTTGTATATCGAAATGGTTGTTATATCCCATCGGCAATAAACCATTCATTTATCTTGGGAATCTATCAAAACAGTCTGCAGGTGTTGAAATGCTGCCTGGGCGTCCTGCGCCAGCAATGAATACATTTGGGATTGCCTTCCGGAGTAGCATGCATGACCCGGAAGTCGTTTCATGAATGATTCCTGCATCCGGTCGCCCCATTGGATTGCTTTCCACAAGAAAAAGTTACATGTCTAATCCATCTCGAATTGGACCAACATCAGCTCTTCCTTCCATTGATCCCGTAGTGCCTTTGCCCGGAGCCAGTGAACTTGGTAAACTTCATATTCGTCCGGTCAGCTCAACATCAAATGTGTCGAGCATTAGGGAACTCACATTCCTCATTCCATGATTGATCTGGACCATGCATGTCGATCTTGATGGACCAGAACCACATGAGGGATTCATTTCATCGACCACGGGCATTCGGATCACCCACAGCAGTGCTGACTTTGAGCTGCTCACGAAGCAGGGGTTTGTACTTCTGAAGTTGGCCATCCCCCGTGTCAAGTTTCATCATTTGCGTCCTGGTCTTGGTATATATACTTGCATGCAGGGAGACAGCCTGCTGCACTGACGTTACCTGCGACCACACTTGAGTTTTTAGGGCTTGAGATTTGGCTTGCCTGACCATCGTTTGGAATAGGACTGCCTTGTTGCACAAGTGAATGCGGAGGTTGTGAAGTGCATCATTTGCCTGCCCTTCGCGAAGGAACATATCCAGCGGAATGAGATCCTCTGCCATCAAGTGTCTGCATCGATCTACCCTGAGGTTTGATGGCAATAGGATCACAATGAGTTCGGGCGAGTTTGTCCATGTATCAGATGTCTCAGTAAAATCTTCCAGGTCATCATCGAGATCATCTAGGATATCTACGTTCAAGTCGTCATGATTGTCATCTCCATCGAATCCCTCTCCGAGATGTGTGACAGCAGAATGCATAAATCCATCTATCTGGCCTTGGAGACAATCTCATTGCTGGGCAAGGTCTAATCTCTGTGTCTCTGTAGTTTTTTTTCTGATCCTTCGGACCTCAATGAGCAATGCAATTTGAGCCTCCTCATTTGCCAACCCCATAGATATCCATGTCGCCACAGATCTCCAAGATGGTGCTGCATTACAGGCATTACCCTGCTCTAGCAGTCTAAGTTCGATCTCCTTTTTGCTCAGTGCTGAGTGCAAAATTAATTCGGACTTCTATGGAGACATGGTCAGCTTACCCTTCTTGATATTTATCTCGTAAACATCCATTGCTGCAGGATCATTTATTCTGCTGGATTGAGCAATCCTCTCGTTGGCCAACCATTCTGTCTTCAAATTGGTGGGTGCTGCTTCATCGAGTCTGTCAAAAGCCTTTTCACTTTCGGCAATGCAATTTTTTGCCTGCTTGTATTTACGGCAAAGGGTCCTTTTCATGTGGATCATCTTGCAGAAGTTGGAATCGTTCATCTGAAAATCGAGACATTCCTGTCGATGAGGGGACAACATTCCCCGAGCAGCAGGGGAAATTAGGTTAAGACATGCCCAGAGGGTCTCCATAATCTCTCCATCTATCCGGCCAATGCCTTCAATGAAATTCAACGCATATCGTACATAGCAGCTGTCTTGATGTCCATGCACGTGCCACAAACCGATGCCAGGAATGATGGTCAATTCTGGTACCATTTCAAGAAATCAGCTTCGATCCACCTGAACCTGAAGGTGCTTGTTGTATTGACAGTTGATGTCATAAAAGGTGACAGCCCTGGTAATGCCTTCCATGTTGTGCTGGGCAGCCTCGCAAAGGGCGTAGTCCATGTTCATTTGTCTGCAAATGATGCATGATCAACTTCTGAATGTAGAACTTCATGTTCGGCTTGCCTTTCACCTTTCTGAAGATCGACCATCGCATGAGGCACAAAGCAGCCATGGTGGACACAAGCAACTCCCCCGATACCCATCGACTCCAGCTTGTGCCGAGCCGCATTTGCTCGATTTACCGCCTGGTGATTGTTGCAGCTAGATTTTTCCAAAGTGTCAGCAGCCTCCACAAGATGCACTTTATACCTGTCCTTTCCCACCATGAACCCCAGCCCATCTGCAAGCCACACTTCATCAAATGGCTTGATGGGATGCAAGTGTTCGGCTTTGAAATTACCGTCCATCACAAATGACCAGGTATATTTCCAGCTTGGAGTTCTTATCATCACTTAGGTCACTTAAGTATAAAACTAGACTCACTCATCAGGTGTTTCATTCCCTGACAAGGATATGTTGATCCCAGGCTGAGGACATGTCAGGCAAAACAATGCGAGATCTCCGGCATTTGGGACGTTGGAACGATGACCGAAGCCATGCCATTTCATGGTCTTCAACTGCCTCCATTGTCGAGCGACTCTCATGAGCTCTCTGTATCGGTCCTTGCCAAGTGCCTTGTCAATATAATGTCCTTTAGATGAAGGAGATATATAATTACCGGAACAAGGTGAGGAAACATGCTGGAGGTCATTCGCCGGAGCTTGCTGTAATAGTTCATCGCGGAGGTGCCACATTCTAGGTTGTCCAATAGAAAATTGTCGAACACTCTGAAGGTGAACACAGTCTTCAGTTTGTTGAATGATGCAGGGAAAAATCCATCTCGAAACATTTGAATGTCTGGACTCATGGTGTTTGGACAATTGCAGCATCGAACCTCGAGGCGATGAACTCTGGACTTGTCGACGATGACCATGGTGTTTTCCTTAAGCTGGAACTCTGGTTCGTCTCCTTCAAACAAATCCCATCTATTTGCAAGTGCAGGACATTCTTTGCCATCATGACCGAGGTGTATGACGAGTCCGACATGAGCCAGACAACTTTGCTCGAAGAACTGACCATTCCATTGACTGATCCAGTGGAAAGGATTGCAACGATGTTGACTCCTGCAACATCCAATGCAATAGAGTGGCTCCCCAAGACAATCTTGACATTTGTAGACCCCATCCTGGTCACAGACGATGCATCTCCTATCTTCTGGAGGAGCTTCTCGATCCAGGAGGTGATGCAGATATGATTCCTGCCTTGGGAGCCATTGCCTCAGGTAGTCATTCTGGCTCTGCATTTGTTATACTTAGCAATGTTTGAACAACACTCCAACGGTTTACATTCACTTGCAATTGTTTTTGGAAGCTGCAAAGGCTCGAATGAGCCTTGGTCTTGCTCATAAGTATTATCAGGACAGTCTTCACAAGTAGGTGGTGCAGGAACAGGCTGAAGTAAGGTGATTCCAAGGGAGAGTTAGGCATGGACCTGTAGGCATGTCGTTTTGCACTTGCAAGCGGGACCTTGACCCAAGTTTTCCTACCTTTTCTGCCCCTTGCTTCTACCCTGTGGGATTTTTGCAGCGGGGTGCATAGACCTATCTTCATCCTATTTTTGAATCTTGCAAGAGCAGCATTAGCTCAGGAAGGTCACATGAATTGTTATTCCAATGCTATGTTTGTGCAGTATTGGTTGTTCATTACAAATTTATTTCCAATAATGGCATCATGTCCGATATGGGTTGATTAACCAACTGTTAGGCTTTGGTCAAAGTTGAACTTTGAACCAATATTAATTACACCTTGCTTACCCTCAGCACATTCACCAATCAGGATCACCATGGCAAGATCAGGTCATTCCACTCGCTTGTCTCCTGGAAGACATAGAGCACATCAACCCCAGACACAGAAGCTCATGGAAACCGAAATTTCTGAGCTGAAGAACTACCTTCCTGAGTGGACTTCTGCGAAAAGGAGCGAGAAGCGGGCAGTTTTCACTGCAATTTCCAGGGCTGCCAGGTTGTTTGCGCCAAAAGTGGACCAAGGACAATGGAAAAAGAGGAAGCAGGTGATACATCCTTGTTGTGATGTGAAACAAAATTTTTAATGTCTTACACTTCCTTCAATGCTCAGATGTACAAGACTTGGTTGTTCAACAACAAGAAAAAGAAGGAAAGGAAGGACATGATAAAGTATGGGAGGAAATGGACACCTAGGATGGTGATCTACCAGGATAATCGGGAAGAGGTGCTGAAGAGGATCGAGGATGAGTCCAGGGCAAAGCCAGGAGATCCTAGTATGTTCAAGCATTATCAGGCGGCTGTGAAGAGAGTCGTGGCTGAATTGTCTGATGACGAGTTGGAGAAGGCGAAAGAAACCACCGAAGAATGGTCCAATAACTGTCCTCCTCCTGAGATACAAGCACAGGTCACCCATAAGAAGGGACCTGCATATATGGAGCACTTTCGAAGGAGATGTGGAGGCAATGCGGGATGAGAGTGTTTGTGTTGTCAGCTTGGAAGAATGAACAGGGCGAGGTGCTGTTCGGGATGTGAGTGAATTTTACCTGTCATCGCAGATCTTTCAACCCAATATATTTCACGCAGGCAAGATGATAACGAGGCATTAGGAGATGGAGACAGCTTCATGAAGACAAAGGACTGGGACAACATCAAGCCAGTGTGGCAGGAGTACATGCAGGAACAGTTCGGTGAGTGTTTAAACTGTTGATACCCAGAGGGGTGTGTTGATGGTCTCTGTGATAGGTGCCGGAGCATGGAAAGGTGGTCGACAGATGAAGGGAGGTTGCAAGAGAATCCGAAAACCAGCCTTTGAGCTCAACACTGACGAGGATGGGATGCCATTGCTTCCGAACATCACCGAAACAAAACTCGAGGAGAAGAAGGCCATAGTCAGGGCTTTTCTCACATTGCACTATGGTGAGTCCTTTCTTGCTACATCCGGGACATTGTTGAATGCATCAACATAGGGATTTGTTCGGGGATCAACAAGGCAGTAGTGCCATGGAGCACCATCCTTCAATGCCAGGATGACTTTGTGTCACAAAGATATCTTCTGGCGGATGTCGACTTGAAGGAGCCTTCGAAGTTGCAAAATTGGGACATGACAGCCCTCCTCAATTTCTGGTATGCTCGGCAGGAGAAAGGCAAAGGATCAACATTCACGAGTGCCGAAGCTTGAAGTCCGAAACATGAAATGAGTGGAAATGCACATTTCGCAAAATTGTTAACATGGAAATATTAGATTGTCTTCAACAGTTTGCCGGAAGTCATTTTCCGATCCCCAAGCCCAAAACCCAAAACCTGGAAAACCCGTAATGAGTTCTACATGTTTTCCAGGTTTCGGGTTTCGGGCTCGGGGATCGGAAAATGACTTCCGGCAAACTGTTGAAGACAATCTAATATTTCCATGTTAACAATTTTGCGAAATGTGTGTTTCCACTCATTTCGTGTTCCGGACTTCGAGCCTTGGCACTTGGCATTCGGGTCTCGGGTCTCAGGTCTCAGCACTTGGTGAATTGATAAGTCACTGATAAGTTTCGTGGTTTTGCGATGGGACCTCCATGAAATTTGTAAGAAATACCATATGTCCAGTGTTATGTTTCGAGCCTCGGGTTTCGGGCATCGGCACTCGGCACTCGGCACTCAGTACTCGGTACTCAGTGATTCAACCATTGAGTTTTGGATTTTGGTGTTCTGGGAGTAACACTTTCATGTCAACAATTTTGCAACATTTAGTCTTCCACTCATTTCAAGTTGCAGGTTTCAGGCCTCGGCACTCGGCACTCAGCACTCGGGTCTCAGGTCTCGGCAATCGGTGAATTGATAAGTCAATGCTGAATTCCAGGGTTTTAGGATCAGCACATGGTGAATTTTGTAACAAATTCCATATTGTGTATCACTTCCAGCCTCGGGTTTCGCGGCTCGTGTTTCAGGCTTCGGCACTCGGCACTAGGTGATTCAATCAGTCAGTGGTAACACTTTCGGTTTTGTGGTTTGGCTCTCGGCACTCAGTGATATGTCTCAGGACATCGATATTTCACACATTCCTGTGAGTATCTAGTGTCCAGTCTGGAGCTTCCGGTCATCGGGTGTCCGGAATTCGAGACAGTGATTTCTTGTTGAAAAATGGATGTTGTACCATGGGATTCAATTTTCGGGCATTGGGACTCGGTGATCCATGCATGTCAGACAAGTGCTTTATATATCTATATAGTAAACCAATACCTTGGCCTATACATCTACACAATATCTCCCTACCTCGGCCCACCTGTCTATGTAATATATTACCTCATCGGCCCACCAGTCTATATCATAAATAATTTCCTGCACTCTTGGCCCACCCGTCGATATAATAAATGTTTTACTGCTCGCTCAGCCCACCCGTCTGTACAATTCACAATGACCTCGGCCCACCCGTCTATATAATAAATATTCCACTGCTTTCTTGGCCCACCCGTCTACAAAATTATTCCTGTACGTCGGCCCACCTGGCTATACAATGTACCTTTACATCGGCCCACCCGTCTACAAAATGATTCCTATACATCAGCCCACCTGTCTATACAATGTACCTTTACATCGACCCACCCATTTATATAATAATGATTGCCTCTCAACTCCCTTCAGCCTAGCTGTCTATAATATACATGTCCATCCTACTGTACATATTCCCCAGATGGGCCCACCCATCTCCATCGGTAAAAATATTCATCCTGGTCCATCCGACATCATTGAGCATATATATAACATTGGCATAGATGGCCCCAGCTGTCTCCATCGGAAATAATATTCCCCCTGGCCCATCTGTCAACATCAGGGATATACATCACATCGGCCCATAGTCCGCTGGCCCATCTTATATGGGATATTATGTAGGTCAGGTGACCCATATAATACGGAATTTGTCACTGAAGGGGCTCTGTTTCCTGCTCTGCATTTTTCTTATATACCATCTTGGGTCTGATTATACACTTCAAATATAGTTTAGCAGCTGTCTTTCTCCTATTCTCAGTGGTTACATATGTAGGTTACACTTGTTAATAAGTACCCGCTCATGATCAAGGCCAAAGGCCAAACTACTTGGGGTATCTCTGGTGGAGTCCACTTCACCGCTCACTGCATAAGTTTCAAAACATTATTTTGTTGTTACAGTGAATAGTAGAATGTTATTCAGATTTAAGTTGATGTAAGAACTGATCCATACAGCATAATTTTTAATTTATTCCAACCCCCCACATTGTTGGAGCCAAGTACTAGGTATGTTAATTGTCCACAATTGTCCACTTGCTCCTGACTGACTGTGGGAACAAAGTGGAATTCACTACAAATATGCCCTGTCATGGGAATGACTTTCTTTCTCCTTTCCTTTCCAACTTAACTGGTTCTAATAATCACCACACTACACTAGATGTTTACACATATTACAGTGACATATTTCCATATTATATGGGTCACCCGACCTACATAATATCCCGTATAAGATGGGCCAGTGGACTATGGGCTGATGTTATGTATATCCCCGATGTTGATGGATGGGCCGGGAGGGATATTATTTCCGATGGAGATGGGTGGGCCCATCTATGCTGATATTATATATATCCTCAAAGATGTCGGGTGGGCCGATGTAATGGTTTATTGTATAGATGGGTGGGCCGATGTACAGGAAGTATTTTGTACACGGGTGGGCCGAGGGAGTGGTGGAATATGTATTATATAGACAGGTGGGCCAATGTAAGGGTTTATTGTATAGACAGGTGGGCCGACATACTGGAATTATTTTGTAGACGGATGGGCCGAGGGAGTGGTGGAATATTCATTATATAGACGGGTGGGCCGATGGAGGGGGATGTTATATAGACGGGTGGGCCGAGGTAGTGAGATATCTGTCTGACATTCACAGATTACCGAGTCCCAGATGCCCAAAAACCGAATCCCATTTTGCAACATCCATTCCAGACACCCGAACACCCCACCAAGTGCCGAGTGCCAAGGCCCGCACCCCAATGTCCGAAGCCCAAAACCTGAAGCCCAAAATCCGAAATCCGAAAATATGTATACAACATATCCATATTTCCCTCACTGCACAAATCACCGGGTGTCGAGTACCGAAACCCGAAACTTGACACCTGGTACACAAATCACCAAGTGCCGAGTGCCGAGGCCCACGCCCCGATGTCCGAAGCCCAAACTCTGAAACCCAAAAATATGTATACAACATATCAATATTTCACTCATTGCACAAATCACTGAGTGTCGAGTGCCAAAACCCGAAACTCAAAGTATGGTACAAAAATCACCAAGTGCCAAGTGCCAAGGCCCGAACCCCGATGTCCGAAGCCCGAAACCCGAAAATATGTATATAACATATCCATATTTCCCTCACTGCACCAATCACCAAGTGTCAAGTACTGAAACCCGAAACTCGACACCCGGTACACAAATCACCAAGTGCCAAGTGCCGAGTGTCGAGGCCCAAAGCCCGATGTCTGAAGCCCAAAACCCAAAAACATATATGCAATATTTCCATTTTTTACTCATTGCACAAATCACTGAGTGTTGAGTGCCAAAACCTGAAACTCAAAACCCGGTGTGCAATACGCAAAGATAATGAAAACATGGAAGTTGTTGTCTGAGTCTAGGTGAGTGTATTGGTAGTCTTTTCTTGTCCATCGATTAAGAATTCATGTCCAGTTGTAGTCACGTGTACCAGGTGTTGAGTTTCAGGTTTTGGTACTCGACACTCGGTGATTTGTGCAGTGAGGGAAATATGATATGTTGTATACATATCTTTGGGTATCAGGCTTTGGGTTTCAGGCTTTGGATGTCGGGCCTTGGCACTCAGCACTCAGCACTTGGTGATTTGTGCAATGAGTGAAATATTGATATGTTATATACATATTTTCAGGTTTCAGGATTTAGGTTTTGGGCTTCCGACATCGGGTTTGGGGCCTTGGCACTTGGCACTCAACACTTGGTGATTTTTGTACTGGGTGTTGAGTTTCAGGTTTTGGCACTCGACACTCAGTGATTTGTGCAATGAGTGAAATATTGATATGTTATATACATATTTTCGGGTTCCAGGCTTCGGGTTTCGGGCTTTGGACATCAGGGCTTGGGCCTCAGCACACAGCACTTGGTGATTTGTGTACCGGGTGTTGAGTTTTGGGTTTTGGACTCAACAATCGGTGATTTGTGCAGTGGGGGAAATATGGATATGTTGTATACATAGTTTCGGGTTTCGGGCTTCGGGTATCAGGCTTCGGACATCGGGGTTCGGGCCTTGGCACTCGGCACTTGGCACTTGGTGATTTTTGTACCATGCTTTGAGTTTCGGGTTTTGGCACTTGACACTCTGTGATTTATGCAATGAGTGAAATATTGATATGTTGTATACATATTTTCGGGTTTCAGGCTTTGGGTTTCGGGCTTCGGACATTGGGCCTTGGCACTCGGCATTCGGCATTCGATGATTTGTTTAATGTAAATGAAAAATGGGCATGTTGCATACTGGGTTTCAAGTTTTGGGTGGATTACACGCCCTCTGGCATTTGGTCATATGTGATGTCTGGATAATGGCTTCATAGTAGTAGTTGACTGTGTGAGAGCCAAGCATCTCATGCATCTTGATGGCCTCTTGCATTAGTACGTCTTGTGCTTCAGCAAGTGCGGTGTGATAATTTGTCTTCCTCTTGAGGCACTTCTCAGCAAGAGCTTTTTTTTCAGCTGCCGATTTCTTTGCTATTTGCTTTCTCTTCATTCGTGAGCACCATGGTGTGCACTGACTGACTTTTGTAGTCTTAATATAGCGTTGAGTGCTGTGCAGAGACAGACGAGCCATGTTGAATGGGGAATAGTGTTTGATACAAATGAGAGATCAGCAGTAGTATATATGTAAAAAATGAAGCGAACAATAAGTGAAAATTAGTACACAGCTTTGTAATCCTCATACCCAAAATCAGAGCCGCTGATGAGCTCATATATGTAAATGGCCTCGGCCTGAGACATGCCCCTTGGGCAGACATACTTGATAAAATCCGACACACAGTATGCCTCCTTAAATGCAAGTAGGATGTGAAAGACGGCACTGCCCTTATAGCCATGAGCATCAAGGTACTTCTCTGCGGCCATGCCAAGAAGGCCATGGGGTGGGTATTCTTCACTGTTGTGAATGCTGGGATCAGGTGGTCCATATTCTTCTCCAACAACTCCAGCAAGGGATCAGATGAAACGATAAATCTGGCAAGGCTCAGGATTGGTGGGCTGTGTGACAGACAGTCTTGCCATTGTCCTCGAGGAACACGAAGGATCTGTGGGGGACGTTGGAGTGTGCAATGGTAGCAATGTTGGTTGAGTGGGTGTGCGTTCATTTCCTCTGGTGAGCATGAACTTGAACTCAACAGCCTCAACAAATGTCCTAGTTTTCTTGAACTTCTGCACTTGTTGTCCGCTCACTTGCTGAAATGCCCCTTCCCTATACTGCAGTTAGATAATCATCAGTAGAGACAATGTGTAGTACTCACCAGGTAAGGTATATTCCAACATTCCTACCGCACACAACAGGGTAAAATGGCATGTGATGCGAAAATATTGCCTTGAGGGCCTGAGACTATAAGAGAGAGTCCGTCACGCTGATTGGTGGTACTTGTTGGCTGAGCAATTTGATAAAATGCTGCAAGGTCATGACATGTTCAGCCTGTTTGGTAGTTTCGCATGCAACAACCAGTGACCATGCTGGTCGTGTTGTCCTGGTGAATGGGCTTGTAATGATTGTATCAGCCTCAATTTCTGGCAAGATCAAGCAATCTACTCACTAAATAGTCACTATGCCAGGTTCTCAGTCACCCAATACAGCAAACACAGCCATTGTTGAAGCTAGTGAGTGGTGGTGCACAGACAGCGAGCGTGATGTTCAGGAGCGAAGTCATGTAACCACGCATGGTCAACAAAGTCACATGTACATTCAAGTAAAAGACTTACAGTTGAAACATAGTGCCTGCGAGAGCACAGGGCTTTATGAATATTAGGAATGTGATGGTAAATATAAATAGCATTTAAATAAATAAAAAATTGAAAAAAATGGTCCAGAACTGGGGGACTTACCTTGCTCATCATGGTGAACAGCGAGCACAGACTATTGGTGATGAGCGCACATCATGGGAGCTGCCAAAAGCATGGGGATCACATTGCTGACATAGCTGACAGTTACCGTCGGCAGCCTCCGGTAATAGCCTTGTTAATAGCCTTGTTATGTTAGCAAGTGTTTAGGGAATAAACCATTTATTCGTAGTATTACTAGTAGTGAGTGAGATAGCAAAGATCATATGCTAACTAGGATGCCATTCCCACCCCATTATGGCAATCTAATAAGCTCCGAATTATGTGAGGTTGAGGTGCACACACCTTGAACTTGACATCGTAAGAATTGAGCACGCCTATTGCCAGACTCCAAACCATTGGTGGTGTGTAGAGTCTCGTGCTAGTACATTCCAAATACAATACATATTTTAAACCCCACACCTTAATTCGAACACCGCAACTTTGGACTCTATACACCTAGCCGACTGGCACAAGTTGTTGTGGCGTCAAGTTTGCCACTGTTTGAAATCCTTCCGAACAATGGATCAAGCTGTCAGGTATGCTGGGAAGCTTATTAATGCAACGGCAAGTGTGACAAAGTAATATTTAGATTACATTCATATTATTTAATTTATATTTTTAAATAATAACCGGTGAGCATGATGAATGCACAAGAATGGGAGTAGAATCATACAAAACATCATGCAAAACGTGAGGCAAGAGGTACAAAATGAATACAGTACCACTCCACTGTACACCACCCCAGAATGAACCTCGAATTTTGACTGATGAATGTCCTGCAGTGCCTGCAGCAAAACAACCTGTCAGCAGCAGGATTTGTCAGTGCAATTTTGGACAGCAGATATACCATTCACACTGCCAGCTGAGACTCGCTGACAATGAATGCAGCTCAAATTTGTGTGCAGTTGTACAATAACGAGAACTCACATCCATCAGTTTTTGCCTGGGCAGCAGGAACACTACGCAGAGAGTTGTGTAAGGAGGTTGCTGAGCTATCTCTCGAGCATCATGGCCTCCACTTCAAGGCCACCTCTGTGACTGTGGAGCAGCTGGAAACAACATTTATGAATCAGCTCACTGTAAAGATGCAAAGTGATGCTCTGAATGTTTGGAACCTTGTCTCAGTGAACTTCTTTGACTTCCATAATGCCTGAAAATGTGAGTCGCTGAGTAACCGTTCTGGGCTGACCATGATGATGCAATATTTAAGCTTCTCGATGTCCTGCGCAATGTTATTGATGAAGAGATAATCAGAATCTCGTTACATACCTTGAACGCCTGATCTGAGGCAGTCTCTTTACACAGATTGATGGCGGGGAAACCCAATGCCTCTGCCTCCTTTTGATTCTTCTCTCCTAATATATTCAGCGGTGTCACAATAATGATAATCCCACCTGCGTTAAATATGAGAGGAATCCAAAATGTCAATGTTTTTCTGGAGCCAGTTGGGGAGATCATGATAACATCCTTGCTGTTGAGCTGATATTGAGCTGCCTGAAGCTGCCAGGTGCAGGGAGACAAGCCAAACTTCTCTTGGACAGTTTGCTTCATGTTCTCAAAGCTTGGGACATTGAAATGACAAGGAGACATTCTGAGTATGGTAAATGTTAACTTAACAGAAATGAATCCAAAATGGGATTGCATCTGTCACATCACGCAAATTGACCTCCACGCACCCATCTGTCCGGTGTACCTGACGGCTTGATCCATTGTTCGGAAGGATTTCAAACAGTGGCAAACTTGACGCCACAACAACTTGTGCCAGTCGGTTAGGTGTGTAGAGTCCAAAGTTGCGGTGTTCGAATTAAGGTGCGGGGTTTAAAATATGTATTGTATTTGGAATGTACTAGCACGAGACTCTACACACCGCCCAGCCTCCAAACCATTGGCAGTGTGTTGAGAGTACATCCAAGTGCCGCCACACAGACCAAATACGACCAACAATAATTCAAACAGCACAACTTTGGACTCTAACACACTTGGCCAACTGGCACAAGTTGTAGTGGCACAAAGGTTGTATCTAATTGTCCCTCCAAAAAAATACCTTCGAAATAGTCGCCAGTGCACCCGGGCGTGATGCGGACGTATTTGATTAAACCTTTGATATAATTATTATTGAAATATAATTTTGATTATAATATATCTAAACTGTGAGGGAATTAGCAGCGCAGAAGGAATGATGCGAGGAGAACATGAGGCATAGTAGTCAGTGAGTTTGTGATAAAATGAGCGCTGTCATGCATGAACTACTGTTGTACAATGAGTCTTGCAAGTAGACTATCAAAGGTGATGCAGTGCCTGCAAGATAATGGCCTGTCTACCTCAACCTTCATGAGCGGTGTTCTCGAAAGCAGCCATGTCGAACACCAGGATGCAAAAATCTCACTGACATCTAACGCGAGTCAGTTGTACACATTGCTGAACACTAACGAAGACTCACATCTGTCCGTATTCTCCTGAGCAACTGCCCTCGTGCACACAGAGTTGTGTTGAGAAGTTGTTGAACTCAGTCTCCAACAGCATGGCCTTCATTTCTGAGCGACATCAGCAACCTGTGGAACAACTCAAAATGCTGCTCATTGATCAACTTGTAACAAAGATGAAAACCGTTGCCCCGCACCTTTGGAATCTAATGATGGCCCTTCTTGACAGCAGGGACAACCGCCAGCGCAAAATGCCAAGTCCCTCAGCTGTGGGGTCACAGACGGCGGACGTTGTCAAACAACAAGAGATGGATTTGGGCAAATTCAGTGGAGATAGCATGGGGCTGGGTGATGACAGTGATGGCGAAAGTGAAGAAGTCTTTGAGGGGCACCCAAAAAAACACCAGTGTTGTGCTGCCGAAAGGAATGAGGTACTACTTGTTATTGTAAGTCTCAAGGTGCAGCAGCAGGTACAGTACTGATGGTACTTATTAGAAGGCTGTAGTGGCAATCAGCATATGTTTGCAAAGCTCGAACGAAAAGTGCAACTACTTACAGGGTTGGATGGGATTCTTCATGAAGTCAACTTGTGTGCCAGAGAAAGTAGTTGAGGTTTTGGCTCATGCAGGTCTTTCAATCAGCTTGTCGTCAATCCACAATGCAGTAATGTCTGTCTCAAAAGAGATTAGCAGCAAAATCAGGAGTGAAGTATGCACACTTCAAGCAGCCTTCGCATACGATAACTTCGACATTGCTTTCAAGATATCTCAACCTACCCTGAAGAACTGGTCCTCATTTGTCAGTGCCACATCCACCACAGTTATCCCGCTTTTCGGTATTGATGAGAGCAACACCATTGCATTGAAATGTTCTGCTGAATTATGGGCGTCAGACCACAGGAATCCATTGCCATCAGTCACACTGCTGATGAATGAGATGAGAACCATGATGGATCTACACAAAAAGGATACATACAGTCGCCAAATCAATCCGACAAAGCCCAGCCCATGAACTGCAGCATTTGCCTGGCATGTTCGAGCAATTCTCGTCAATCAACATCAGAAGTTCAAACATTTCTTGAAGGACCTTGGTGAACCAGAGACTGTAAAGAGGATACCCGTTCACAAGACCCATCAGATCCCTTGCCATGCGATGGATATCAAACAATCGATGACAGACGGCAACGTCGAGGTCTTAGAGGACCTATTTCAACAGGGTTGGATTGGTGACAAGCATGACAGCAGTTTCAATGCTGATCATGATGTTGACATGACCGAACATGTCATTCTTGTCTATGGCGACCTTTTGACAAAGGAAAGATTAGACACTGTCCGCAACAGCCGACGGATCGAGTACACACCGAAAAACTGCTTTCAATATGTCATCTTCTTTCCGGGGTTATTCCACTACAAAATGGCATGTGCTGATGCCCTTTGGTGTACACATATCCAGCCGAAAGAAGGACATGATGATGAGAATAGCCTGTACCAGCACATAGGTGTTCTGCGACCTGATGAAATGGGGAAGATAGTTAGCAAGCCAGGATTCAGACGCGTACACGATGTCCTTCATCATGATGTCTGGGCCTCGATACTTGATTGTTGGTGGATTGAGGCACACCACCAAAACACAGTGTGTGCAACACTGGAAAAATTTGCTGAATCAGAGCCAACCTGGGATGTTATCATCACAATGTCACATACCATTGTGCGGAAATACATGGCAACAACAGATGGCCTGGATGCCGCACGGTCAAAACCAGTGGGACAGCAAGATAAACAGTTCAAAAACCAGACTTTGCGTAACTGAGACGAGCTGCTGTATATTGACCTGTGTCAGGCCATGAACACCAGAGACATCAGGAGGGTAGAGGCGTCCTTCCTCCCATGGATATACATTTTCAAAGCTACCGGCAAGCATAAGTACTCATCACAGATATCCAGATTTCTGAACAACTTACAGTTTAACTCGCCAGAATCATTGAGGTATGAGTTGGTTTGACTCGATGTTAGTGCGCCTGCTAAGCTCAAGTCTCGACAGTGACATCATACAAATGAACTTGTTGTGCAATCCAACTGGGAAGAGCGTGGCGTTCTGCGCTGTTGACTGGCTTGTTGAGCGAAATAACCTGTACACCAAGGTGAATAATCATTAACTGTTACCCGCCGAGTTAAGCTCTAAGTTTCATTGAAATCAAGGTGATTTTCCCAGGTGGTGGTCCAAATGGCACTCTCGAGCACATCATAAAGGAATCTCCGCTCATTGAAATATACCATAGTTGCCATGTTACCATGGAGAACACATTTCACTTACAGCACCGAACCATCCGACACTCAGCACCGAATACGATGAAGACAATAAAAAAATTATCAGGGTGTATGAATGACAAGAATGTACATCTGTCGAAGGATGGCCGGAAGGCCCTGCGAGTAGTGCCGGATCAGGTTTCAGCAGGAATGACACTAATGCAGGAGCAAAAGGTCGTTAATGAGGAGGATAACAGTGGTTTTGAGATTGAGGGGGATGATTTCCTCGACTGACCTGTCAGGCTAATGATGGACCAGCCGCTGCTGGAGGATCGTTCTCAGTGTTTGCCTTCACTTTTGATCGTCGTAGTCTGGGAACATATTTTGAACATAGCTTGTTCGATGCTAGAAACTCTTCATGTTAGATACCACCGTTGCATTGAATAAACACTTACCAATATGACCAAAGTTCCCGCATGCACTGCACTTCCTTGGTCGCTTCACAGAAGGAACGTCTACAGAACCAGCGGCTTTGATTGACTGTGGGTTTGGCACAAGAGAATGCTGGTTTACAATAGAGGAGGAACCAAGAACAGGGACAGATACCGAAGCCACTGGCTTGGGAGATGGTGGACGTGGTAACAGAATGCACGTCTTGATGATTTTGAGGATTTCAGGGCCGTATAAATCTGCATAACACCAGTGCGTCTGCTCAAAGAGGGCGGTGGTGCTGATAATCTTTGAGTAGTGAGCAAGGTCAATAATTCAGTCCAAGATTTTGTTTGACATAATAATTTGAGGGCCAAAGAAGTTGTCACCATCAAGATCCTCCTCAAGCACCTTAAAATCTCTCCAATGGAGGAGCTCCCAATGAAGATCATGTCCCCCGGTTGTCATTTCATATGGTTTGATAGTGAATTTGTGTTTTGCGTGAGTGGATGGCAATGGAAGTGATGGGAACAGACGAGATTGTAATGCTGCGGGGTTACAAATGTCACAGCAGTAAGGCGATAGTTTAATGCTGCACCTCACACAACAACCGCTGGAACTGGTGTTACTCACTGCCGGATCTTTACAATTGGCAGGTAAGTCCATGATCTATTTGAACAATGCAGGTGCTCACCAATACTAGGATTGTTGAAGTATTCGTCTGCTACCCTTCGACGACACAAGCCATGAAGGTGAGCATTTATAAATGCGTACATTGCCGATTGCTCAACTGTGTCGTTGTCAAGCCCACTCGGCAATATTTCTGCAACAGCCTCAGTGGAGTCAGGAGGATCTCGTAGATGTGTAGACATCCCCAGCGATACTTCAGGAGATGGCATGCTTGCAGCTAATCTGTGGTGAGTGCGTTCTATAGTATTGTCTCTCCCCATGTCCTCATCAACATTTTCTTCTGCATCACTGACAATGCCACCATGATCCTCTGGATCACTATCCTCTCTGTCCAACCGGCTGCTGCTGGCCTTATTTTTCTCAGTGTGCTTTGCCCTCTTCCTAGCAGGACCACTTATGTGTCCCTGCGGCGATGGGCGCTTCCACTTTCCACGGTAGGTATCAAAATACAATGGCTCGACAAAATATACTGCAAGTGCTGTTAGTAACGGGTCTCATGCTGCATGTCCAAGTCTCTGCATTAAAGTGCATAGGGACAGTGTATATCCCCATTGAACGACAAGAGTGATATCACGCAAGTCAAGACCCTAATGCATATATTGTGAGCTCAAGTATTCATCAGTCCACAAGCCACGACTCACCATTCCTACAACATCCATACAACAAACGCCTCAAATGTCCCCTCTACAAAGCTTATCCATTACATCAACACGAAAATCCATAGACATGCTGGAGTGAAACCAAACAACCTTATCTCGTGATTGCGGTGGCATATCGAGATGGATGCAGTGACAAGCACTCTCAGCTTTGTCGCGCGAGTTGGTAAACAGCATGAATTTTTCGTGGGGTGTGGTTCCATTGAAAGAGAATATCCAGGTAAGATCATGCATGGAGCTGCGGGAATATTTCATCTCCTCTACCATGAGGTGAATGTTGGGATGGTCATTAGAACACATAATCTTTGTAGTATTATATGATCGAATATGAAGTTTTGACTGGATGTCATGAAGGATGTGTGGTGGCATTGTCGCTGACGCCGTATGAAAAGAGACATGGTCTGGAAGGAACCATCGAAGGTTCCCCAATTCACTATACAAAGGTCGAAAATATTTGCCCCATTCACTAATACAATGACCTTCATCGAATGTAACATTGAAAAGAGCGTCAGTAAATCTTTTGGAGTTCCACAGATTCTTAAACCATGCATCCCCAAGTACTCGCTCTGGGCTGACAGTAATGACTTGGTACTTGAGTTTCGCAATGTCCTATCATGTATAACAAGCATCAGCGCAGCTAGATTCAAATGACATGCACCCACATTGAAAGCTTCATCAGTAGCATTTTCTGCAGAAAGATTGTAGGCCGGGAAGCCCAGCGTTGTTGCTTCATTATGAGTTTTCTCGCCAAGAATATTCAGAGGTGTCACTATGAGGATAATTCCATTGTTGTTGAATAGAAGGGGGATCCAGAACATGAACATTTTGCCTGAGCCAGTTGGAGAAATAGTAAAGACATTCTTCTTCTCAAGCTGATGCAAAGCTGACTGAAGTTGCCAAGTACAGGGGGTGATACCGAATGTACTGTGAATGAGTGTCTTCATATCGGTCAAATTTGGTACTTTGAATTGACGGACCGACATTGTAATGCTAAGGGTTAATTCAAAAGAATCGAAATGGATATGTGTTGTGTCACAGAAGGTCACACTGGTAAATAAAACACTAGGCGACTATTTCGAAGGTATTTTTTGAGGGACAAATAGATACAACCTTTGCGCCACTACAACTTGTGCCAGTCGGCCAAGTGTGTTAGAGTCCAAAGTTGCGCTGTTTGAATTATTGTTGGTCGTATTTGGTCTGTGTGGCGACACTCGGATGTACTCTCAACACACTGCCGATGGTTTGGAGTCTGGCCTAAGTTAATTCAAGTCTCTCACTCACACGCTTACGGTGGTCCTTGTCCGGACATTTCCGATGCGCAAGTTTTGCAATTCCGCACAGTTTCAGAATCCTGTAATTTGGAAGAAATGTGACTGCATCCTCTGAGCCTGAGAGGTAGGTCCACTCGCAACAAGGAACTCTACTACTGACATACGTGTTCCATTTTCTCATTTGATTATTCTTAGCCATATTCAGAAGCCTGAGCCAGCCTTGAGATTATCCATCCAATGATAATTGACGCAACGCTCACCCATTTCCGTAACAGCCGAAGATGAACTCATATCTGGCATGTTGATATGTCTCGATGGCGAAATTTGGTGATGATTCTCTCGACTCAGAAGGCAGGGCAGAATTGGGAGAATGTGGCAGCATTAGGATGAACACAGGCTCCCTACATCGTCCAAGTCTGGAGGCCGTCTTCTCGATTCCCTCGTCGAAAGTAGGTTCATGAAGATATTAATGCCGGCGTTGTCAAGCAGTTTTTTCAAATGTGTACCACTTGTAAGTCGCAATAGTCTTTAGTGACGCCAGCTGCAATCTTAAAGGTCCAGGATCTATCTTACTTGACAAACAGTTTGTATAGTGGTAGATCTGATATATGTTGAGTCTCCCCATGCTGTCGGGCAAAGCCGATATTGATTTCGTACAGGGTGGAATGGATATTGCAGATCCGAAACTCGCACATCCCTCGCACGTTGCTCTTGTTGGTGGCACGTTTGTGCACAGGTTGGCTCTTTAAGTTCTGGGTTACGGCGTCTTGTCGAGAGCGGGGAACAAAGGACGACGACTATCATTCACGCGCAATAGGACTCAGGAGCAACTCCATATCATATTCGGTTCTTTCCGCAGTGCATACTCTTCGATGCACGGATCATGTCATGTGTAGTCATACCTGCTATAACAACACAGTGCGCATCCATTCCTTCGCCTCTCCGAGTCATTCATACTAGTACACCAACTATGCGGCCTGTGATAGTCTTTTCCCTCCGGTCTTGGGGTGTTGTGTGTTCAACGGTGGTACAGGTATGTGCATGTGACTTTTTTTTTTAAAAAAAAAATCTCATCGGAGTCAGGCTGTATAATTATGTGCGTGAGTGCTTTTTGTCACTGGCAGAGCATGGTTCAGAGTTCTGCCAATGGCAGAACTGCTTCAATTAGTTCTACCCATAATACTAGTACTAAGTACATTCTTCCTTCAGACCGGTAGAACTAGTCTTCCTAAAAATTCATCTGTTTACATACAGTCCAAGAAATGAAACAGCGTAAGAAAGATTCATGCGGGATGATATTTTGAAACACGAGCGCGTGAACCGCTACACTGAAAGAAAGAGATGTCCGAATTCAAGGAACCTGAATGGGTCATACTGATCTAGTTGCATGTTTGAAAATGGATTGCATATGGACGAGTTCTTCCTGCCGCGTCACCCGGTCCACGAAAAATAATATCCAGCACAAAGTATAAAAAACCGTCTTTCTTTCGACTGTCTCATTCAGATCGTTCTGAACCCATATCACATCTCCAGTCTCACAAACAATGCGTATCTTCTCTGTCCTCGCAGTTGCTGCCGCTTTGATGGCATCAGTAGTATCCGCCTCTCCCACATTCAAGTTCATGACCCGTGATGAGTCTCCTACCGGAAAGGGCCATTGCCCTGGAACTTGCAGCAACCCCTTGCAATCCTGCTGCTCTAACCAGCATTGCCGGAGATATGGCGGCTCCGTTCTGTGTGTGCCAAATGTCGAACTTGAATAAGTGTCATGTCGCGACAGTGAACTATGGTGAGTTGTGTTTCTACTTCAATGAACATCGGTGCCGATGATGGCTTATGGCACGATATCAGGGTTACTACTAGCTTGATGAACGTTTTGCTTCTCACTGCCGCTCGAGCAATCATTGGAGTCTTGGAATAGGAGGAAATCTCAGATACTCGAATCCATAGAATGTGACTAAAGAGTTTTGCAGTCGGTGTATATCGAAAGTTGTGATTGTTAAACTGCGAAAGTTCAAGCTCAAGGTCCAGAAACTTGAAATGGCAAATATTTGGTCGCTGTGAGCTTTGATCCAACCAATTTTGAACCAATTCCGGAAATTTCTAGGTATTATTTTTAAAAGGCCTGGCCAATTCTAAAATATCAACTTGACTTTACACGGCATTTGTCATACCGGGTTAACTGGTTTTCGGTGATGAGTTCTTCACTCTCAGCAGGAGTCGGAAGATAATATTACAAAAGTCAGCCACCAGCGGACTCTAACTGGCTCCTTGGTCATCTCAGTCCTGCTGGCCCGTCAAAACCAAAGACATGGTTGTGAATCAGCGGACAAACTTTCAATAGGTCGTCGCCTTGGCAATCATCTCTCTTGTGCTAAGCAGTCTGCACAGGGAGACTTCCTGCGCAATATGACTGATACGTTTTTGGGAGATAAAGCCCTTGCAACGATCAACAGTCTCCCCTACTATGCGATGCTCATGTGGTGGTGGGTGAGATGGATACTTTCCGACTAGGGCTAATGACGATTACCGTTCCTCTTACTAGGACAACTTACTTCTCAATCCGAGTCGCACCGCTGTACAACGTGTTCAAGTCTACAACAATGACCATGCTGGCATTGATTGTCAGTGAATGCGTGGCTGTTGCTATTTTTATATCGTGGCTCATCTGGGCAGCAAGAGAGCTAGATATCTTCAAGCGACTGGTTAAGCTCATATTATCCGCCAGGGCCCAGGAGGCACATCTTAGCACACTTTGGGGTCCACTAAACTTCATATGAAACGACTTTTTCGTACATAACAATTTGACCCAGATCTGACACCATCTCCTATATTTCCCGGAAATCTCGCGCCATTTCCGATACGCAAAGAACTGTAAGCATGGACCGATTTTTTTCCCTTATGTGCGTCGATCATGACTAAAAAATCACCAGTAACTCGCGCGTCAGTGTCAACGGCCATAATGACATCGTGAAGGCAATAATACGACTCACATGGATGCAGTACCAGAAACCGCCCTGCCATGCAGGTGAGTCATGTTATCAGGTCCAGAAAAATGCTGATACTCACGCATCTCAACCATGGGCAGTCTTCAGTCGCGTAGTCAACACAATCATCGTAAGACCAGCAAGCTCTGTAACATTGAGGGTTGAAAGCGCTATCTGCAACACTAGTAGCTGGCATGGCAGAGATTGATGGTACTAAAACAGCAATGATGGCGAGGACCGTTGCAGAGGAGAAACGCATTGTTTGCGACTCGTGTGTGTGGAATCAGGTAATTTTGAAGGGATAGTAGGAAGACAGCTTGCTTTATATTGTTTTCTGGACTTATTGTTGCACAGATGTGCCTCCGAATGTATACGTTTTGCCATTCGTTGTTGCTGTTGACATTTGTGGGGCAGAACTGACATTGCCAATCAGACGGCAGAATGCGACGGAACTTCCGCACATGTCAGGTTCAGACTGAGACCTGAAGTTCTGCCGGAACTACCTTGGAATAGTTCTGCCGCTAGTACATGTTGCCAGTGTATGGCCAGCTTCCTCTCGACTTTTATCAGCCCTCCAACATCATCACTGACAGTATGTCTACGCAGATCAGGTCTTGCGTTAATGCCTACGAACGAGTGCCGCCCGGAGTTGTCCTCTTGCTGTGGTTGTGCAGAAAGATCATGCTTCTCGCGTGTATTCAATATTTAATGATGTCATTCTCTTCAGATGATATGACAAGACAACGCTTCTAAGATCAAGCATTTCCGTACTAGTATAAGACAAACGTGCTTAGCCATACGGAAATTCTCGTCGTCCGGACAATCTGCAGTATGCGTATAACTGTGCACCGATGCATAGTGTCCCACACTTCCTCTTACTACACCTGAGACATAGCCAAATAAGATTCGGTGACAGATCCCATTCAAATTCAGGGACAAATTGTTAATATTTAAAATGTTTGGGTATGCCTTGAGATGCATGATCAAAGCCAGAAAATGTCGACAATCAACTATGACTCCAGATTCATCCTTAAATGAGGAATTTGTTGGCATGAGTCTGCCTTATTGTTAAATTAATAATCAGATAACGAAAATAATCAGTATATGGTTGACAACGAGATTCATAAATAAATAGTAGATACACCACATGATCAAATGTGTGATAAATTTAACCTCTGATTCAAATCGAGTGGGAGGACAGAGATTGGCAAGATTCAGTGAGCACAGGGTGGAAAAATTGAGAATATGTACACTAATATTTCTGATGTTACATTGTGACAATGATCTTGAAAATGTGCGTAGGGCATACAAGTACCCTGTTGAGTGCCTCATTGAGTGTACCACTTAGTGGGGTACAGGTATGGAGCACCCACCACTCTCTTTTGCGGTGCCTCACATTATGCCAAAAAATGCTCCCATGGACTCTCAATCAACATAACCACCCAGTTGAGCCCACAAGGCTGGTGTTATGACTTGGATGGTATCTGTTGGCGACGCTCAAACAGAGCTTGTGTCGTCAACGGTCTGTGGACGTCCTTGGGCTAGCCCAGGTTAGGGGTCGGTACTTGGCGGATCTTCGGCAAGTACAATTTAACGCCTATGTCCAAATCGGGTAGCTTATGTCATGCGGGTGCGAGATGATAAGCTAATCGGCCTAGGCTTATGACACCTGAAGGTTAATCGTAAGGATCGTCGTTAATTAGAAGGACAGAAGTCCGACTAGTTAACAGGGGCTTTGCTCGTCGACGAAGTCGATGAGTAAAGATCGAGACTATAGGCTTATCCGCGAAGAGCAGATAAGAAGATAGAATATAGACTGCTGGCGAGGCAGAAGGATCACTCTGGTGAGAGTAGGAGGTCAAGAACCAAGTAGATTCAAGTTGGGGAAAATAGTACATGGTAGCGAGTTTATATAGAGGACAGGAGACGTATTAGTGGATGATACTCGTACTACCGGGAGAGGCAATTGATAAAGGGTAAAACCATAACAGGAAGGCATGTTCGGTCTAGGTGGAACGTGCTAGATAAGAAAGTGAGTCAAAGATTGGACTAAGAAGTGAAACGCGCAGGGGCACGATCGTGCAGCTGCGGATCTAAGTATAAGTCGCATGTGCGACTGCGCACCGAGTCAGAGATCAAGAAAGGGAACAGGGCAAAGGGGATGCGTCGTGCATCATGTCATAGGTTACCGTCCAGACGGTAAGGGCAAAGGGACTGTCCGCAGGATCAGTCAGGTGGTGAAACGGAGCATGGGTATGCTTCATCAGCGAAAGGATCCGGCCAAATGTACTGGCTTTGCTGAAGCGACAGGTAGAGGGCGAAAGGGAATGCGAGGATGACAAGGATGACAAGGGTAAGGTCGGGGTAAGGGTATGATGCGAGGGCTGATACGAGGAGGATTAGGAGAAAAATAGTAGGGGCCCAAGCGTCTAGATGTTCTTGTAACAGCTGGCTGCCCACCCTCGCAGCTCACCTCCTACCCTGGACAGACATCCAATTGGGGCCGGTTAGTGCTACATGCTCTGCAAAAGCCTAATGGATAGGGATTTGACTGCTGGAGACACCTGCGACCAAAGTGGCCAAGCGGCTAGGTGCCATATTTCATCAGAGTTTCGACTGAGTCTGATTCACTACTTAAGCAGGGAAACCTTATTCATTAATTCCTCTTCTCAGATGACATCATTAGATTCAACAATAACATAGATTCTATTAATTTGACTCATTGCATAGACTTCATTGGGTCTATTGTATGGATGCTAGTTGTAGTCTTGCAAAATAGTTACATAAAGACAACTGAAATATTGTCACGATCATGTATCACTCCACAAATCAACAATTAGAACTTGACAAGTTTCCAATGATCCATTTTTCTTGTTCATATGTTGTGTCTTATTGTTAATGGCTTCATCTAAGTTATCAGGCAGACAAAGCATGGCAAGTGCACACAATCAAATGAACAATTAGAACTTGACAAGTTTTCAATGGTATATTTTCCTTGTTTGTACATTGCATCTTATTGTTGATGGCTTCATCTAAGCTATCAGGCAGATGAAGCACTGTAAGTGCACAACCATTGAGTCTTTGGTTGCCGATTGCCAGCGAGTATATTTACTCCATATCATATACTTGTAGCTTATACTCACCTACAGATAGATCCATTTGAGGTCATCTACCTGTGATCATGTCTCAATGTCGAGACAATTTTATGCTGCCTGATGACCCAGAAATTAACCCCAACCCCTAAAATCTTGTGACAGTGCTCATGGTAATTAGACAGACCGCCCACAGGTATGTCCCTGAGCCAGAAGCATTCTCTAATACTGACTTGGGTCACAACTCTTTATAGTTTTATCACTCATGGGGGCCCTGTTTCACAAGGCCCAACTATGCCAGAACATCACACTAATCTGGAGCATAGGTTATCTAACAGTACTTCATTGACCTATATGCCATACAGGCCATATGTCCCCTTCACTACCAGCACTTCACATGAGGGGCGACATTCTGGCCACACCCCGTGCCATGTACTCCAATCAAACAAATCCCCTTCTGATTCGACATTTGCCAGCTCTCCCTATCGCTCCACCAGATCACTCTCACATGATGCCACTCCATTTGAACATCCATTGAGTCCAATACCCATGTCTCCAGTCACCACTACACATCTTGATGCACCAGCTGCAATTACCATTCCTGAAGAGTCCATGGACAATGAATCTCTGATCACAGCCAATGATGACATTGCAATGGATCAAGACATGTCAAGTGCTGCTCCTCCGTTTTCTCTAAACTGTTCACCACCAGCTCACCATCCACCTACAATAACTCCCCCACAACAGAGACATCTGCCATTTCTGCCTGCCTTGGGACATTATCTAGGTCAGCTATTACATGACCAGTTTGCTGAACTGTCTGACAAGGTAGTGGCACCAGCTCTCAGGAATGCAGTCAACACCATGATGCCAGCTATGATTGAACAGATAGCAGGCAAAATTAGGGGTATCACTTCCACTTGCTCTCACAAAATTTGCAGCCAGAAACACTCTGGAGCAGTGGTGGAAGATACCAAGCCTGAATGTGAGGACAATCTAATGCCGTCCTCATGCAGGAAGCACCCTGGAAAGCAGGGTACCATGAATCATCTACATGCATGTCCAGTGAATTTCGTGTGATTAATGTCTGATTAACATTCATTTTAGAATACCTTTCACAAATATCTATGGGACAAGTGTCTGCTGAATTCCAAGAATGGTCTGCTGCCTCAATCCCCCCGTCACACATGATTCAAGCTTTTAATTGTGACAATGAAAGTCTGCCATGTTTGGACAACATCACCATTGACTGGAACAACTCTTTGAGGAAGTCTCTTGGAATACAGAAGCGATCAACTTGTTGGTAGTTGACTTTCAGGCAAAAATAAAGACAGGTAGTTATGCATCAATAATCTTTGATGAAGATATGATGAACCTTGATGACTTGCGTGCACTCTGCATTGATAAGCTTTGTCAAACTCACCAAGCCCATCGCGACCATAATAAGATTGAAGGATTCGCAAATTCTCAAGAGAGAGAAACTGCTACTTGTGAATTAGCTTTTTGTAGCAGTTGAAGGCAATGTCTGGATAGGCTTAACACTCGCAAGCAGGGGGTAAGTGGGTAATGCATTTGCCATCTTGTTATTCATGTCTTTTTTCAGACCCTCGAAAGGTGTTGGAAAATTGCTCAGCAAAATAACCATTGTAATCCTTAAACCTGGGATATGATCAGACTCATTATTGATTGGCTAGACATGGATGGCATGAGTGGGGATGAAACAGATACCCCTCTGGGTGCGAATCCAAAGATAGTGAGACAAGTAGCTCTACCATGGATAAGCCCAGCAATCACTTGCCTTCTTCACATTGTTGAATCCTATGCTCCAGCCACATACAAAGAAAATATGTCAATTCCAGTTGATAATGCATCACTTCCCCACCTCGTGGAGACTAAATGCACCTCATGAAACTCTGTTGCAATTGCGTGGCTGGTACAAAATTAATTCAAGCAGTGCTAGGGCATTTCTGGGCGTTTGCAAGGACTTTGAAGTTCCATCCTTGGTTCATAGTTGCATTTTTACACTACAAGTAATTACTCATTATGTGATAGGATGTTTATCCCTCTGCAAATGACATCCATCAATGAAAACCATGCGTTACACCATAGGGTTATCTGCTCACAAATGTGCATTGCTGCAAACTCCACTCTACTTTCCCACATATTACAATGACATATTTCCATATTATACGGGTCACCCGACCTACATAATATCCCGTATAAGATGGGCCAGCGGATGATGGGCTGATGTGATGTATATCCTCGATGTTGACGGATGGGCCAGGAGGGATATTATTTCTGATGGAGGCGGGTGGGCCCATGTGTGGAATATGTAGAGTAGATGAGTGGGCTGATGGACATGAATATTCTATAGACGGATGGGCCAAGGTAGTTGGATATTATGTAGATGAGTGTACCAAGGTAGGTGGGTATCAGATAGACGGGTATGCCGAGGGTACTTGTCATCACATACACGAGTGGGCCCAGATATATACTATATTAGATGGGTGGGCCGGCCGAGGGTACATTGTGTCACATACACGGGTGGGCCCAGATATATATTATCTTAGATGGGTGGGCCGAGTGTCAAGGAAGGTGGGTATCAGATAGACAGGTGGGCCGGCTGAGGGTACTTGTTATCACATACACGGGTGGGCCCAGATATATATTATCTTAGACGGATGGGCCGAGTGTCAAGGTAGGTGGGTATCAGATAGACAGGTGGGCCGGCCGAGGGTACTTGTTATCACATACATGGGTGGGCCCAGGGATATATTATATTAGATGGGTGGGCTGAGGGCAGTATATAATATAGACAGGTGGGCACAGGTGAATGATAATTGTAAAACAATGCAGTACTGATTGCTGAGTAGCTAATTTGGGTGAAGTGTAATGAGTTCCTGCAGCTGCAGGTTCATTACTGTTGCATTGCTGTACGAGAAGCAAGGTTCCAACTACCAAAATTCGAGTGAAGTGTACCGAGTTCCAAGACCTGGGTGTCAATAAACGAATATCTGATATCCAGCACACTTCCAATGATTGGGTATTTCATTGAGCAATGGGTGGTAATATATCTTCGACAGCCAACATCATGGAAGGTTCTCTTATCAGAACCTCATGTTCACCACCTACCAAACGCCAAATGCTAAGTTCCGACTACCGAAATTTGAGTGAAATGTGCTGAGATCCGAGCCCTGGGAGTCGACAAACAAATATCTGATATCCAGCACACTTCCAATGATCTGGTATTTTGGCTCCCTTATCTGATCCTGACTATCTCCACTCCCTTTAACACCAACCTCTGGGCGTCCAGCATTCAGCTTCTGATTTCCCAAGATTGACTTCATCATGAATGGTTCTTCCACTTCTGCAATTCAAATAAGCCTCTGGCACACTTGGGCCCTGACAGTCACTCACTCGGCATCTGAATATACTGCACAGAAATTCAATGCAGAGAAGATAGGAGGAGACCCAGTGATACCTTCTCCTAACCTAGACACTGATATAGTGATGGCCTGCGATTGATTGGTAGATTGCCTCATAAAGGCATATAAAAATCTGAGTGGGTCTTCCTGCAGATTCAGAAAATTTATTTGATCATTCAAATTCCTTCATCACAGTTCAGATGAACATCAACATTGCAAGATATAGCAAATTGATCTCCCCGAAGAACACTGGGCACAATGAGGAGAAAGAGGAGAAGTTGCTTAAGAGATGTCCTCCCGGCCATGAGGGGACAATGTTTGTGGACATACCCACCACCATTCTAGATGTGTCCGGCACCATCATCACATGGTACCTCCCAGACGCCCTGACAGCTGAAACACAGGTGTGTGATATACATTGTTACTCAATATATATTAAATACCAAATGGTAACCACAGAAGGAAATGTGGGCAGCCACTGACTTGCTGTCTCTGAGTCTGGAAAGAAGTGTGAAGGTCGATGGGAATTGGTAAACCAATCTGGAGTGGTTCAAATGCTGCTCGGAAGATATTGGCTTACCTGCTGGATGCATCAATTTATCTCCGGCATGGTTTCAACAGGGGCACGAGGTAGGATTTGATAGGATGATGATTTCGGTAGTTGAGCTCACCAATCCCATAGAATCTAGCGAACCCGAGGCCAGCAGCCATTGCATCAGTGGCACTCAGGATCATGCACCCGGAGCAGTACTGGGCAGGGTTACAAACATTTTCAAGCCTCGGAGAAACGGCAGGAAGCAAGGAACTGCCAAGAATGTCTGAGATCCTGGAGTACTGGGCATCCGTGTTTAACACACTATCCGTCATTTCCAATCATCAAACCCTGTATCATCGAGACCATTTATCAATTCCTGAATGCTTCAATATTCTCACCACTGTGGGGAATTATTCTAATGCTCGGATGAGCATGCCAAGCCTTCAGCTAGAGTTCGGGTACGATCCCGGGTGTATGATTGGATTCCCTGGAAGGATTGTCAGACATGGGGTTCATGAGGTGGAGGGGGATAGGGTTGGGTGGGCATGGTATATGAGGGACTCTGTTCATATTTATGCCGGGGTTCCCTCATGTGGATGGGCTAGGGTGGATTGACGAACCCTACCACCATGTGGAAGATGAAACAAGTAGAAAGTGTAATTACCTGCATCAGTACCTGCTTTCGACTACCAAGTACGAACCATCTCTCTTGACAACACTCGAGGTCTGAAATCCATAGCGGATGCACACAATAACTGTCCAGAGCCTTCCATGTCTCTTGATGACACTCGAGCACCAATGCATTCAGCGCGAGGGAGTGGGGTTTCAGTTGTGGTGCGCAGTTACAAAAGGCCAGCCCTGGGTTGGAGTAGTGCAGATGATATCATCAACCTTACACTAGGCAATGCTAAGAAGAACGATCTGTTGCAAAAGGAACCTACAAGTCAAAAGGGCACAGAGAAGCAAAGAAATGTAAGTATGAATGCTGCTGTACAAATTTGAAAATGGTACTGGGGCGATGGCTATCATTGTATTTAGACTCAGATCCTATCGACAGTCATCAAGGCCAGGAGCTCGGTAACCAGGTCTCGGCACTCGGGTCTTGATATTTGGACCTCGGTAGTTAAATGCCAGGAGTCGGGAATTGGTAATGGAGATCCGGAACTTGGAGTTCGATATTCGGCAGTCAGCATTCGGTACTTGACACTCGGTACTCAACGTTCAGAACTCAAAACTCGATATTCAGAGTTCGGTAATGGGGTCTCAGTAATTGGGACTCGATATCCGGACCTCGGTGGTCAGGACATGGTGATGAACATCTGCACTGTTTATTTTGGGACTCGCCATATAACATCATGTTAGATATTGCAATGTTTACATGCAATTTTCAGTACTTATAAAACACATATGCAACTTGCACTTCAACATTTCCAACTGAGTGACTAGAGCTACTCTCCTCTGCCTCTCTTCAATCTGTCCAGAATGGCAGTGTAGATTTGTATCTCTGCCATCTTGTCATGGATGCCTCATGTTGCTCCTCAAGTAATGTCAGGAGGTGTTCTCTAATCCACCTCAGTCCCATCAGTGATGGAACTGAGGTATGATCCACCTGCTCCGGAATTGTCAGACCATCATTCTCAATGCCATCCTAGAGCAGATCAGTCATGAATCAAGGAAATGGAATAAGAATCTTACTAGCCAATGCTGGTAGTGAAAGATACAGCAAGTCATCACCCGATCCCATTGCCATGGTTTGTTCGGGATTGCAGTTTCTCCCATCCACCATGGGGTATCATGGCTGGATACGATCAGGGATGGATCTCCGGGATCTGCGATGTCATGAAACACACAGATGTGATATGAAAAGATGTGATCCGGAACCATGTTCCAGGTGTGACCGGGAATCAAATGAAGAATATGAGCAATAGGGCTGGGAATGACTGAAATGATGTTCCTGGCAGCTGAGTACTGGAGGATGGGCATGACAAAAGTCTGTGGAAGATGTCAGCATTAACTGCCAGTGTTGTCAGGGTCTTACAGTGATCTTCCATTGCAGCCCAGCTTTGAAGTGCCTGATCCAAGCCAAAGGGGAAGATTGTTGTTTGCAGCCTCCACCTGATATTGGGAGATGGATGCGCGGATGTGTGATGCAGACATCGACATAGTAGTTGAAATGTTTGCAGGAGTGAGAGTGAGGGGCCGGTACTCATTGAGGGAATTCTGATTGTCAGAAGTGGATGCAGGAGAAGGATATAATTCAGGCATGGCTGATGCAGGAGTATCACACTGGCAATGACAATGACAGTTGGTTCAGATGTGAAGATATCATCCACTGATGGATGGATAAATTTTTCAAACTCCGACATGGGCTGACCCGGCCAATTCCCGGGACTAAATTTGTATATCGAAATGGTTGTTATATCCCATCGGCAATAAACCATTCATTTATCTTGGGAATCTATCAAAACAGTCTGCAGGTGTTGAAATGCTGCCTGGGCGTCCTGCGCCAGCAATGAATACATTTGGGATTGCCTTCCGGAGTAGCATGCATGACCCGGAAGTCGTTTCATGAATGATTCCTGCATCCGGTCGCCCCATTGGATTGCTTTCCACAAGAAAAAGTTACATGTCTAATCCATCTCGAATTGGACCAACATCAGCTCTTCCTTCCATTGATCCCGTAGTGCCTTTGCCCGGAGCCAGTGAACTTGGTAAACTTCATATTCGTCCGGTCAGCTCAACATCAAATGTGTCGAGCATTAGGGAACTCACATTCCTCATTCCATGATTGATCTGGACCATGCATGTCGATCTTGATGGACCAGAACCACATGAGGGATTCATTTCATCGACCACGGGCATTCGGATCACCCACAGCAGTGCTGACTTTGAGCTGCTCACGAAGCAGGGGTTTGTACTTCTGAAGTTGGCCATCCCCCGTGTCAAGTTTCATCATTTGCGTCCTGGTCTTGGTATATATACTTGCATGCAGGGAGACAGCCTGCTGCACTGACGTTACCTGCGACCACACTTGAGTTTTTAGGGCTTGAGATTTGGCTTGCCTGACCATCGTTTGGAATAGGACTGCCTTGTTGCACAAGTGAATGCGGAGGTTGTGAAGTGCATCATTTGCCTGCCCTTCGCGAAGGAACATATCCAGCGGAATGAGATCCTCTGCCATCAAGTGTCTGCATCGATCTACCCTGAGGTTTGATGGCAATAGGATCACAATGAGTTCGGGCGAGTTTGTCCATGTATCAGATGTCTCAGTAAAATCTTCCAGGTCATCATCGAGATCATCTAGGATATCTACGTTCAAGTCGTCATGATTGTCATCTCCATCGAATCCCTCTCCGAGATGTGTGACAGCAGAATGCATAAATCCATCTATCTGGCCTTGGAGACAATCTCATTGCTGGGCAAGGTCTAATCTCTGTGTCTCTGTAGTTTTTTTTCTGATCCTTCGGACCTCAATGAGCAATGCAATTTGAGCCTCCTCATTTGCCAACCCCATAGATATCCATGTCGCCACAGATCTCCAAGATGGTGCTGCATTACAGGCATTACCCTGCTCTAGCAGTCTAAGTTCGATCTCCTTTTTGCTCAGTGCTGAGTGCAAAATTAATTCGGACTTCTATGGAGACATGGTCAGCTTACCCTTCTTGATATTTATCTCGTAAACATCCATTGCTGCAGGATCATTTATTCTGCTGGATTGAGCAATCCTCTCATTGGCCAACCATTCTAGTCTTCAAATTGGCGGGTGCTGCTTCATCGAGTCTGTCAAAAGCCTTTTCACTTTCGGCAATGCAATTTTTTGCCTGCTTGTATTTACGGCAAAGGGTCCTTTTCATGTGGATCATCTTGCAGAAGTTGGAATCGTTCATCTGAAAATCGAGACATTCCTGTCGATGAGGGGACAACATTCCCCGAGCAGCAGGGGAAATTAGGTTAAGACATGCCCAGAGGGTCTCCATAATCTCTCCATCTATCCGGCCAATGCCTTCAATGAAATTCAATGCATATCGTACATAGCAGCTGTCTTGATGTCCATGCACGTGCCACAAACCGATGCCAGGAATGATGGTCAATTCTGGTACCATTTCAAGAAATCAGCTTCGATCCACCTGAACCTGAAGGTGCTTGTTGTATTGACAGTTGATGTCATAAAAGGTGACAGCCCTGGTAATGCCTTCCATGTTGTGCTGGGCAGCCTCGCAAAGGGCGTAGTCCATGTTCATTTGTCTGCAAATGATGCATGATCAACTCCTGAATGTAGAACTTCATGTTCGGCTTGCCTTTCACCTTTCTGAAGATCGACAATCGCATGAGGCACAAAGCAGCCATGGTGGACACAAGCAACTCCTCTGATACCCATCGACTCCAGCTTGTGCCGAGCCGCATTTGCTCGATTTACCGCCTGGTGATTGTTGCAGCTAGATTTTTCCAAAGTGTCAGCAGCCTCCGCAAGATGCACTTTATACCTGTCCTTTCCCACCATGAACCCCAGCCCATCTGCAAGCCACACTTCATCAAATGGCTTGATGGGATGCAAGTGTTCGGCTTTGAAATTACCGTCCATCACAAATGACCAGGTATATTTCCAGCTTGGAGTTCTTATCATCACTTAGGTCACTTAAGTATAAAACTAGACTCACTCATCAGGTGTTTCATTCCCTGACAAGGATATGTTGATCCCAGGCTGAGGACATGTCGGGCAAAACAATGCGAGATCTCCGGCATTTGGGACGTTGGAACGATGACCGAAGCCATGCCATTTCATGGTCTTCAACTGCCTCCATTGTCGAGCGACTCTCATGAGCTCTCTGTATCGGTCCTTGCCAAGTGCCTTGTCAATATAATGTCCTTTAGATGAAGGAGATATATAATTACCGGAACAAGGTGAGGAAACATGCTGGAGGTCATTCGCCAGAGCTTGCTGTAATAGTTCATCGTGGAGGTGCCACATTCTAGGTTGTCCAATAGAAAATTGTCGAGCACTCTGAAGGTGAACACAGTCTTCAGTTTGTTGAATGATGCAGGGAAAAATCCATCTCGAAACATTTGAATGTCTGGACTCATGGTGTTTGGACAATTGCAGCATCGAACCTCGAGGCGATGAACTCTGGACTTGTCGACGATGACCATGGTGTTTTCCTTAAGCTGGAACTCTGGTTCGTCTCCTTCGAACAAATCCCACCTATTTGTGAGTGCAGGACATTCTTTGCCATCATGACCGAGGTGTATGACGAGTCCGACATGAGCAAGACAACTTTGCTCGAAGAACTGACCATTCCATTGACTGATCCAGTGGAAAGGATTGCGACGATGTTGACTCCTGCAACATCCTGTGCAATAGAGTGGCTCCCCAAGACAATCTTGATATTTGTAGACCCCATCCTGATCGCAGACGATGCATCTCCTATCTTCTGGAGGAGCTTCTCGATCCAGGAGGTGATGCAGATATGATTCCTGCCTTGGGAGCCATTGCCTCAGGTAGTCATTCTGGCTCTGCATGTGTTATACTTAGCAATGTTTGAACAACACTCCAAAGGTTTACATTCACTTGCCATTGTTTTTGGAAGCTGCAAAGGCTCGAATGAGCCTTGGTCTTGCTCATAAGTATTATCAGGACAGTCTTCCCAAGTAGGTGGTGCAGGAACAGGCTGAAGTGTTGGTGATTCCGGGGGAGAGTTAGGCATGGACCTGTAGGCATGTCGTTTTGCGCTTGCAAGCGGGACCTTGACCCAAGTTTTCCTACCTTTTCTGCCCCTTGCTTCTACCCTGTGGGATTTTTGCAGCGGGGTGCATAGACCTATCTTCATCTT